TTATAATATCCAGTTCTAAATGATTTGTAACGTAGTCAAAATTCTCCGCATATGACAAATGTGTGAACAGTAGCTTTTTAGAGGAAGTCTGAACTGAATCTGTTCAGTAGCTTGAGCTAGCCAAAGAGTAAAACATTGTCATACCTTTAGAAGTAAACATTGTTAAATTATTTCCTTGCCCAAGAAGCTCAAATTAACACAGGGCTGAGTATCTATTTACAGTTCCTGAAACTTACTTAACAGTTTCTTTTTTGACTCTTTGCTCCTACTTCTTCTGTAATTTTTTTTAATATTATCCATTTGACACTACTGGGTTTCCCTATCCCTAATGTTTTACCACAGAGCCTGGGAATGTCAGTGAAGTGGGACACTACAGCAGAATGGACTGGATTCTAAAGGAAAAAACAATAAATATTTCTTTCTGCCCCTTCTAGCTGTCAGTATTCAGCGAGACAGACAGTTTGACATCCTGGTTGGCAGCTGTATGAAAGTATTCGCAACCTGACTTTGTCTTTGTGAGACGTTTAAGGCAGGAATCTAAAGTCTGTAGCAGTTATTATAAATGTTTATGTCAGAAACCTCTGAAATTAGCAGAATAAACATCAAAAGGTATGAAAATACTTGTCTGAAAATAGAATCTTGCTGTCATTGACTGAGCAGAGTTGGAAGTTGATTTCTTCTGTCGTACTTTGTCAAGGGTGCTGAAAATGAAGATGAGCAGCCTCCGTTCCGGCAGAGAGGAGGGAACCAGTGGCAGGGATGGAGAGGCAGAGAGAGTTAATAGCGAGGCGCTTTAAAGGAGGATTCTGACTGGATTTGAGTGGAGCTAGACTAAGTTCGTCGTGACTAATGCAAGGATACAGCAGCGAGGAAAGCCCGGATGTGATCATTTACAGTCTACACACACAGTTAAAATTTTATGCAAAAAAACCTGCTGTATTTAAACATAATCTGAATGTATGGAACTTGGAGAGGTTACAGCAGGAAGCAGGCATTGCCCTCACTGACCAAGAAATAGATTGATGAAGAATAATCGTGTGTCTGCTGGATACGTGCAAACAGATGCTGAAGAGAGAGAGGCAGATGCATTTAGATTAAAGGTCATCAGGTTGCCTGCAGAGAAAGAAGAGCTGAAGTCAAGTACTTACATCCACAGTTGCAGAATTAAAGCAGTAAAACAGGGAAAGGTGAGCAGAACATTGGTGGTAATTCTGTAGGCGAATATTGGCACAACTCCCCCTCTCCACTATGGCAGAGAGCATAAACAAACTCATACTATGGGAGACTGGAAGGTAAGATGGGGTCTGCAGGGCATGTACAGAGGTCAAATTAGGAGAGCGTGCAGGCTCATGTAAATGTAGCAAGAAAAGGAGGGTTGGAGGGAGGGAGTATTGTACTTCAGTGTCATTGTGTGTGGTGTTGTACTACAGTGTTGATTTTGTCTTGAAAGAAATGAGATCCTACGCAGAATCCCCATCCTTTAGTTCCCTCCCCACCTTGTAATTGCCATGCAACTGTGTATTTTCCTTTACTGTTACCGCCCTTATCTCTTCCTGCTGTTGTGTCAGTTCCCTCAGGGAGGAAGAAGAATGTACCCCCACCATTGATAACTTCATTTTTTTCTTTTTTTTCCCTCTCTTCCCACTTCTCTTATTGAACACAATCATAACCTCTAATACTGTTTCTGTTGCCTTCCTCTGTTGGCAGCTTTTCTTTGTTTCACTTTTTTTGAATATTGTGGTGCTACAAACATGATCGTACTTGCAGTTCTCAGTAGGAAGGCCGTTAGACTGAATGTTTTAATATGTATTATGTAAAACTTGTAGTTTGTGAGATACGGTGTTTAAGTTGACATTGCTGGATGGATGAAGGATGTTCATGCTTGTGTGCTGTGCCCGCCTTCTCTCCCTCATCTTTCCACATCTAGCACAGAATCGGGAGAGGTGGCCAGGACCTACTGTTGCTGGTGGTTGTGAAAGGTTCTTATATCAATTGAAGGTTTCAAGACCAACAGACCCAACACAAACGTGACAATCGGTAAACTACAGTTCTTGTGAATGGAAAAATAGACTTTATAGCTTCATACAAAGTGAGTGTGGATTGAACTTTCAGCACCTGGGTTAATGATCGACTTGTTGGTTTGACTGAATATTGAGAAAATAAAGAGAAGATGTATCTTGACACAGAGAAAAAAGAAAGGGCCTGGAATCATGCAGTAGCTGGCCTTTGCGCATGTGTGATCTTTCAAGTGGTTGTTCCCCTGATCCCCTCTGCATCCCCAAATTCTGCAGATCTGCCTGACTGTGGTCAGCATGTCAGGGAAGGGAGCAAGAACAGGAGGAGTATTTATGGATACTTTCCCAGAATCCGGTGTGCATTTCTGGCTCCCTGGCCTCAGAATGGGTATCACGGAACTAGAGAAGGTTTGGAAGTGGTTGACAAGGAACAGCCAAGAAGATTAGGATTCTTCAGCATGGAAAGGTGCAGCTGAAGGTATATGATAGACGTCTACAGAATCACATGTGCAACAGGAGGAAAAAAAAAACAAAAATTGGAAATAGATGTTTGGTCTGTTCCAATGCCAGAACTAGAAATGTCAAAGGAAGGTAGTGGGTCCAGAGCAAACAAGAGCTAGTGGTTTCTCATGCAAAGTGCCACTAAACTGCAGAAGTTCTTGTAACAACCAGTTGTGAATGCTGAGAGTTTATACTAGTTCAGAAAACAGCTGGACAAACCGATGGAAGAGAAGGCCATTAAGAAATCTTAAACAGAAGGGCTCTGACTCAAGGAATTGCTGAGCCACGAGGAGGGTGTCTGGGAGCCCCTAGAAGGTTGGAGAGTTTGTTGGTAAGGCACTGATAGGTGCTTCCTAAATGCCTGCTGCTGGCCATTGTCAGTCACAGCATATTGGGCTAAAAGAGCTGTGATCACATCAAGTATTACTGTCTTTATTCCTCACAAAAGTTTTTAAGGTGTAGCAGATGTCCGTATGTATAAAAATCCAGTTAGTCATCTTCCGCATATTCATGAGGACTGCATATGAAGATACACGGCTGGTGACGTAGCACAAGTTAGGGCATCAGCAATTCATCAAACTAAAATTTGTACTTTTGTAACCTTAAATTGTTTGAGCATCCTTATACCATGCAGCCAGTTGTTCATTTAATAATAGATGTTCACCAGCCTGTGATGGGAGTAGTTTCACATCAGTAAACGTTTGGTTGAGCTAACAGTCAGCTTTATGCCATAGTTTTCCATGGACTTTCACTGAAGTTGAGAGAGAAAAAGCAAAGGTTTTTCTGCTGTAGCTTGGAGGTAGGAATATATTTGAGTGTTCAGGTACTATAGCTTGCAACTAAGTATCACAATGTCTATTAGCTAAAACTGCTTGCTTTCTGACGTTTTTTCTTGATTAAATGGAGTACATATGACTCAGACCTATTAGACCATCACATAGTTGGTAAAGATGTACTCTAATGAGTGCAGTATGAATGATGAAGCATAATACGTATTAATGGTGAAGAATTCTGTGTTAGAACTTGTCACTTGGATATGAATTATAGGTACTGTAGTAGATATATAGGTACTATAAAGAACACAACTAGTGATCTATAATATTGCTTTGATGAAGAAACTGTAGGTTTTTCTTTTTTCATATCTGAAAATCAGGTTTATGAGTTAAATCTAAATTTGTCTCACTATTCTGGTAGTCCAACATGTAAAGCTTGCTTTGTTTGATGGAGGGGTGGGGAAAAAACCCCAACCAGAACAGGAAAGATAAAATAAGTCAGGTAAACTTTAAGGTCTGTTTGTGTAGCTTGCTGTGTCTGGTCCTTTCCTGAGCTGATTTTGTCTATTGACTGTTAATGGAAAATGCAGTTCAGAAGTATAACTTTACATGTGATGTTTGTGAAAGGCTGCAGATTAATGTGCTTTGAAATGAAGCTATCTAGGCAGGGATCAACAGTTACTTTATTTGAAGGTCTGATATGTCAGCTAGGCTCTGGACCAGGGATTGAGAACTTGCTACAGGTCTGATAGAATTCTGTATTTGATACGTATGCTCCATGGATTACATCTTTTCAGCTGTCAGAGAGAAATATCTTGTGTTTAAGAAAACGTATGTCCTGCTTTTTTGGTCAGACCGTGGTGTTTAATCAATGTCTTCTAATCTTTAGCAGCTGAAATGATACACAGCTTTGTAGATGCTCAGACTTTGTTAATGAACTTGTCTGGATTTTCTGAGTATTTAAAATCTTCCCCAGATCAGTGTGGATTTCAGTGTTCACTGTTAATCTGTAGCTGGAGAATACAACAGAGGCAAAGCGGTCATCGAATGTCAGCTAAGCAGGGTTGTTTTAAGGCTTCATAGTATATGAAGCTTCTGGCATCCCATAGGAGACAAACTATCCTGTCAATTGAAACGGCGTTTTTTTCCTTTGTGACTGCCTCTTTTACTAACTACTTTTGTCAAGCTGCTGTTAGATGGTAATAGTATTTTAGGGCCTGAGTAATACACTGTGGTTTAATGAACTGCAGGTGGCATGGACTCAAGCAACCCTAAGACTACCTGAACCTGAAAGTAAGAGACAGTTCATAGAATCAAAAACTCTGTAGAAGAAATGAAAGTGAACTTCACGTTGGGCTAAAGAAATTTACTGTAAATAAAGACTTCATCTATAGACTGTTATAACCTCCTTAACATCTATTTAAAGTGACCTACTTTTCTTTTAAAATCCTCCTAATTCAACTGGTAACTGGTAAAATGATGTATTCTGACAATATAATCCTCAAATCATTGTGTGGACAATGCTGACATGTCTCATTTTGAGCCCATTTAAGACCCGTTAACATATTTCAGACTAGAGTAACCTATTAAATAAAAACATCAGGAAAAAGCTTTTACTGGTAATGGTTGTTTTGCTTAGGTGACTATGGCTGTAATGTATTGTGAGTACATCTGGTACTTCAGTGCTTATCAGTGATCTTTTTTCCTTTAGGCGGTTTCCTAGAAACATGATTGCTTGCTGGTCTTGATCTCACAGCTTTGTGAAGACTTCTTCTCTGATAATGTCAAGTTCAGGCTACCCTCCTAACCAAGGAGCATTCAGCACAGAACAGAGTCGTTACCCTGCTCACTCTGTCCAGTACACCTTCCCTAGCACCCGGCACCAACAGGTAAGGGGACAGAGGGTTACAAATTTAGCAAGAGTATAATTTGGGTGTTTGCTGTGCCAAATGGGATTTTATTTTGTTTTGTAAACCAATGCATTACAAAGTCATTCACATTTGGAAACAGTCGAGTTGCAGACAAATATGCCCAGTTAAAACTGATGGAGAAGTCTGTGTGACGATGTTGCTTGTGACTTTGGAGTTTGGCTCTTGCATTAATGCTGATGGGTCTACTTATTCAAGTAGCTTGGCTCTTTGAATGAGGGTCTGACTATGGTGTAAGTTCTGGGAACGATCATCTGTAGCCATGTGCTGCTTCTTGGTTGCTTCTGAAGTATTAACTTGAAAGGACATAATTGCCTGTTGAATTATGCCTTCCTGCGATGCTGTAGCTGAAATATTAAAATCCCTGACTACCACTGACTGCAGTTTTGACTTTTTGAAGCTTTTGCTGGTTTTTGGTTTTGTTTTTTTTATTCCTTTTTTACTTCTTCTTTCATGGTAGGTAGACTAGTATTAAAAAATGCTCTATAAAACTGTGAAAGTTTCCTAAATAAAACCCTACCACTTGTCAGCTTGTCAATATTTCTTATTATTTAGCATTTGTAAGTCTGCTCAAACTTGCAAAACTCTTCTTTGGAAATAGACCTGTCTTAAACACTGTCCATTGAGAATCTTGTCTCCTCAGTAGGTTGAGTGTTTTTGATTCTTACTTCCTCTACTTTTTTAATGTTAAAAAATCAAATGTAAATAAACGCTTGAAGTGGCAAAGGAAATGTTTTGCCTGCTAAGAACTGCTGCCAGTGTTGCTTAGGTAAATAGTTGTGGGATGGTTTGCTTTGTTTTCCCTTCCCTTCCCTTTTTTTTTTTTTCTTCTCTGAAAGCATTCTGCATTTTGCTTCAAGTTTATATATGTAACTGCTTTTTTACTTTTTTTTTTACAGAAAACTGTAATGAATGAATGAATGAATATAAAATTCCTGGGCTTATCATTGGTTTCCTGTAGTTTGAATAAATTCACTAGGGATTGTGTTCATCAACTTTTGTTGCAGTTCTTAGTGTTTAGTTGTCATACTAAATTTGACCAACTAAGTGTGTCTGAGTTCATATGTATTGCTAGCAATAGTTTTCCAAGAATTTGCAAATGACCTGTCTACAGTTAATATACATTTAAGATGAATGCAATGTTCTGAGCCTAACAAATCCTTTGAGAGACTGGGCTCTTGGGGCATTTGTGGGTACTAAATTTTTATGGGGAATTAATCTCATATTAAGCCCAGGAGCGTAACTAGTGAACCCGTAGTCATCTTTCCTTCTTCTATGTAAGGAGTATTGGGCTAGATTATCTGTAAACTAGATGTAGTTCTTGACAAAGTCTGTGTGCAAGGTGTAGAATGTGAATCTGAAGTGTAAAAACTTGTGTTACGCTCTGTTTTTTTTCTGGAGCAGCTGCACTAATGCTTCCAACTAGCTGTGTTCCGCTAGCGAGAATTGGAGGAATGGATTTCTAAGAATCTTCCACTTGGTCATTTCTGCTGAGCGTTTATTCTGCCATCCTGTGCTTTCTATGGCGTGGCAGACTGTGGAGGACTAGCTTTTGGCTTTAGAACAGCTCAGGTTTGCCTCATTTTAATGAAATTCTCCTCTTGCTACAGATACTTTAGATGTTTTGTTCTACTCACATGTTTGTAAAAGGAAATCCAAGAACTGGAGCTTTTTGGCTTGCTCTATATTTATTTTTAGATAATTTGTAAACACTAAATCTTATGGGTAATGACCTACTGCGTGTCTTGTAGAGCTTCTCTTCGGTCAATGCCAGCTGCACATAACTTTTGAAAGCAAGTGGTTGAAGGCATATATATACAAATAAATTGTTTTGTACCTCACTGATTATAAATTATATCAGTCAGAAGGTACATCTTGTCTGACTCTGAGTCCTAATTAACAGTGTCTGATATAAAAATGTCTTGAGGTGATAACAGAAGGAATTGCCTTGGGGTTGCTGAAATGCATTCTCAGTTTACCAGTGTAGTTGAATGTGCAAAATTATTTTTAAAGGATTTTTTTTTAAAGCATATTCTTCTGCTGCAAAGTCATTTGTGTTTTGTTAGAAGTTGTTAGTAAGCTAGGCAGAATTCTTAGCATAAATATTTAGTCTCTTTAAAGTTCACTTAAAACTTAGAACTGCCATTTACAAACTTTATTTTTTGAGTTGGAATAAGGCTGTGGTGATCTGGTCTTGGTCTGTATTTAATAACTTTGGAAATGATTCTTTGGTGACACCAAATGCTTTTGATCCTGTCTTCTGCACCTTTGTTCTTGTTAACGTCAGAAGTGTGTTTCATTTAGGAGTTTGCAGTTCCCGATTATCGTTCGTCTCACCTGGAAGTCAGTCAGGCAACCCAGCTCTTGCAGCAGCAGCAGCAGCAACAGCAGCAGCAGCAACTTCGGCGCAGGCCTTCCTTGCTTTCTGAATTTCACCCAGGCTCTGACAGGTGAGGATGCTGGCTTTGAAGTATATGAACAGAAATCTTCTAAGAGTGTGTGCTTTCTGTGAAGTTAATTTGAACTTCTGAATAGAAAGGGTTTTTTGAGTTTTACAGTTTTTTGCGTAAGTATTTGACTTTAGTAATCAATGTTCCATTGTTGTAACAGTGTCAGTCTCCTGCATTTGAGCGTTGTAGCTGTTGTGTAATTCCTCAGTCCCTTTGGCTTAATGAATATATTTGTGTCACAGACAGGAAGTGACAGTCTGCTTCGCCTTTCCCACACCTCTCCCAACAACACTGGAAGTAAGCTTCTGACAATCCAAGTGCACACTGCAAGCTTTTTAATGCCATTTAGGCTGAAAGTGCGTAAAGTTTATAACTTTGGATAACTTAGTCTTGCTGAGTAGAAGTAACAAGTGCAAGAATTGTTACGGTGTAAATACTACCTGTTGTATTTCCTAGATTAGGCTTGCTTATTCAACAGATGGTATCTTTGTGGCTGGACAAGTAAGAAACAACAGAGCTAATTGGGTATTGAGTTGTAAGAATTGTAAAGCACTGAAATGTGGCACAAAATGGACTTCTAGGCACAGAGGACTAAATCAGAGTGTGTACTACTTTTGGCAAGACACTCGACAACTTCATGTCATTTATTCTAAATACCCTTTTTGTCAGTCGTGTATACCACTCCTGTCTCTGTGTAAATAGATGCAATGGATCTGGGGTCCAGTAGGTTAACTGAGGATGCCTATAGTGGACAACTACACTGAATCGTATGTTGTAATTTAGTTTCAGATTGGAAATATCTTACATCTCAGTGAAACAGGTTACTTCACAGTGGATGTTGATGAATCTTCAAACGTACATTAATATTACTGTAAGGCTGATAGGTTCAAGAAAGTCTTCAGACATACTAGAACATATATTTGACTATATACCTGGAGAATATTGGATCTACTTTGAAAACCAAATTTAGAAATTAAAAACGCACTATAGATCAGAAGAAGATTAACTGGATTGTAGTAAGTTAGCAAGAATATACTTCTGTTTAGGGGAGAGCTTACACCTCAGTTCTTTAGCGTATTAGTATGCTGATGTACAGTTGTAAGCAAATGTTATTGCTTGTAACTGCTTTTTTTTTTTTTTCTTGGACTCTTAGTAAGTATATCTAATAGGAGCAAATCTATGTGCTGGATTACTGCTAGCAGTTTATTTTGGCTATAACTGAGGTATTTGGTTCTGAACAAATACCAGTGATGAGTGTTATGTAAATACTGGTCTAGCTTCAAATCTTGTTAGAATATTCCCAGGAATAACTTGATGATAGTGAAATCTGGGGCTTGCATATTGCCTTCATCTTTTGTCACCAAAATGCCAAACTACTGTCATCTCTTCAGTGGCACTTCATAGGAAGATGTTGAAGCATATGAGGTTATTTTATGGACATCCTGTGCATTGCACTGTAAAAAAGCTAGCGATACTGTTCTTATGCATTTTTCTGAGAAGGAGGAGTTTTCAAACGACTCATGGATTCAGTCAATGACTGTTTCTGTCATACAGTAGCTTTTTAGTAGAGATCAAATTCCAGATAGACTCATGGCTCATTTGAAGCATTCTGTGTGTATTTAAGAATTATTTGACTGCAAAAATGAAATAATGGAGCTGTTGTGGTCATCTGTGTTCAGTGGAATGTAGTACTGTATTTCATGGATTTTTTTTTGTTTATAATTTGAATTAGAGCTTTGAACAATATCACTGTAGCAGTGGTAAGTTTCTTTAAGGGTTTGTAATGATAGGCATGCATTTAAACAGTGTCTTTTAAGATTCAAGTTAACTTTTTCAATGGATTTTAGCTGTTGTGTTTTTTGAAGTTGATACTTAAAAACATTTGTCTGCCCTACTGTTTAGAAGGAGCTTCACTAAATTGCATTTCCTGAATATTTGAAGAGGGCTGAGGAACACCAAATAGTGTTCTTCCATGGAGAATGTGTATTTTTATAGTTTATCTCTTCTGTGTATTAGGCCTCAGGAAAGGAGAACTGGATATGAACAGCAATTTCATCCAGGTCCATCTCAGACAGATCATGATTCACTGGAATCTAAGCGACCACGTCTTGAACAAGTCTCCGATTCCCATTTTCAGCGTGTCAGTGCAGCTACTGTCTTGCCTTTAGTACATCCTCTGCAGGAAGGGTTGAGATCTGCAGATATTAAGAAGGTAAAGCCGTTTTCTATTATGATGCTGAAGATGTAACTTCCTATGTTGCGGTGAGCTAATAAATTTTTTTTCTGTTAGGTAATTTTTTTATTAGTTTAGGTTCATTCTTTAATCCCAGAAATGTAATTTTACACATTGTTACAAACTGTGGTCATGAGTCAGTGTTACTGTTTTATAAAAAAACCAGGAAGATAAGTCTACCTTAAACACAGTAAAGAGACTGGAGTACTGACTTGTCACTACACTCTTCAGTCATTCAAACCTCAGTTGCAAAATGATTATGGGATAGTGCATGAAATAGTGCTGCTTTTCATTTGAAAGCTGATGGCAAATGCATGCAAGTCCATTTTTTTCTGTAATTAATATCTGTACTGAATGGTCAAAGTACTCCCCTCCGCCTCCTCTTCCTTTTAAGCATATGACATGGATCTGCTTATTTACATAATACTAATTATACTTGTCGCTGTCTCATTTTGGGTAAATCTAGGACAATCTGGTTGTGCATATTTTCTATTGTAGATACTGAATATTGATTAGAGCAATTTGTATAGAGCAGACAAATGTCTCTTAAATGAGTATTTAGTACCTTTTCTCGTGCACACACAAGCGCACAGCCTCACACACCACGAGGTGGTGCATAGTGGGTGTGACTTCTGAAGGTGAGCGCTCAAGTCTCTAAACTCAGACAATTTAAAGAAAAATTTCATCATATGCTAACAGGCACCAGATTTTTAAGAAGCTGATTACTTATCTTGCCTTCTCTCTACCATTCCCTTTATCATGTGAATAAACTATCTGTGAAGTAAAGAAAAATTGTGATAGTGTGTGATTTCTTAGTAACTTGCTCTGTTCTGTAGCAAAGATAAGATCAAAGGGGGCTGGAGAAACTGAGCTAAGGCATGCAATGTTTACATGCTTGCATGTAACTGGATTTTTATCCAGACACTACATATAGAAATGTGCTGTCTCAATTTATAAATATAGCCCAGTATTATCTTGAGGAGAAGTGGCGTTTAGACACGTCATCTTTCAGTCAGATTGGCTTGAATGAGGGATGTATTCCTGACCTAGCATTTGCCAGCTGGGTAGTCCTCAAACATGGTGGTCTGAGGACATAAACAAAGACAAGGTACTGCAGTGCTGATGTTAGAACGTGAAGCATGTTGAAATATGTTGTTCAGAAACAGACAAAAAAAAAACCCTGAAGGCCAAAAAAATCAAAGCCAAGTGAATAGTGACCGATCCTTTCTTAAGTCATTACTTCTCTTACCTCATGTTCAGTTCAAAAGAACATTTGTAACCACAACTAACTCTAGATGTACTTTATCAGGCTGGTCATGGTTACATTCAAGAGTATCCTCATCAATATATGTGCAGAGTATTGAGGATTGGCTCTCAAGTAACCCTTCCTCTAAGAGTAAAAGATACTGTTTACGTTTATGGAGATATATTTTTAAAAGGGAGATGTTTTGGTCATCTTTTGGTTGCAAGGTAAATATTGAAGTGTGCTGTTATTTTTAAAGGTGGACTTTGAAATTACGGTATCATAAATGGGCTGTCAGTTAATAAAATAATCAGAGCATTAATAAACTGAAATATTAAACTTTGACTTAGGTAGCTTCTCAACGGAGATATAAAGAACTGAAAATCCTTTTTAATTCATGCATGCTAATTTGGTTACTGAACACTCATTCGCATGTTATCAATATCACTGATTTCTCTCAATCTCCTCTCCTGTCCTCCAGGACCCAGCTTTTGGGGGAAAGCATGAGGGACCATCTTCTCCAATTACTGGTCAGCCTTGTGGGGAGGACCAAAATGCTTCACCTTCAAAGCTGTCAAAGGAAGAATTGATACAGAGCATGGACCGTGTAGATCGCGAAATTGCGAAAGTTGAGCAGCAAATCCTTAAGCTGAAGAAAAAGCAAGTAAGTATAGCAGCCACTGCTGTTGTTATCTGCCAGTGAAAAAGGTGTGGAAAAAATCATTTGTTGATGGTGGTGAATATTTTGGTTACGTGAACCAAACGAACAAGTTAGAAAGGAAAGGTTACGTATATGATTTTGCTAGAACATTTAAATAGATTGGACATCATATAGTTTTAAACATTTTTGAAAAGAGGAGAAAACCACATAGGAGCACCAACAGTAGACGGCTTTGTATTTTAAACATTTGTTAGATGACTAGTGAAACAAGGGCACTGTGACTGTAATTTCAGCTTTACAGATGACTGCTGGGTGAGGGGAGGCTATCGTCTTTCTTTTGCAGTCTGTGCAAGGGATTCTCCCCTTGCACATGCGTCTCCAAAACCAGAGCTTGTACAAAAGTCCCTGGAGCATCTGCTTGCACAATGGCAAGTGATCCTAACGTGTGGAGCTAAGGTCAGCCTGGGGGAAAGTGAAGTAGGAGGGGTGCAAGTAAACAGAGACAGCAGAGAAATAGAGGAGGAAATACCACTTTTTTTAGTACAATCCTGGCTATGCTCTGCATCTGAGAACTGCACTTCAGCCACTGAAAGCAAAGGAAATGTTTACTGGCAGTTGTTGTTGCCTCCCCAGTAGCTGTTGTGGTGAACTAAACCCCCCGTTCAATCTAGGCATCCATTATTCATTGGCAAAAACAAAGTCCTTGTCTCCTTTTCCTTTTACGACTTTCAAAGATTGAGATAAAAGTAGTGCCAGCTTTAAGGTTGTGTTTTGAGTTTTTTTTAAGTACGAACTCTGTAGGAGATTAGAGTTATGCTATGGAGTTTGGTAACTTGTAGGTCCAGGATAAAAAATAGACCACTCTCCAGAGAGCAGTATGTTTTTATGGTCTAGAAGCATTTCATTACATCTGAATTTTAATGACCAGTAAAGTGACCTTCAGCAGAAAACCAAAAAAGCATGTCACTAAGTACCTGGCTGTGTGCTAATGATGCTCATCTTTTTGTTTGTTTGTTCACTTTTCTGCAAGATCAGCAGGTACTAAACATATTGTCTATGAAGGTTCATTTGTGCATGTTTGTACTATGATTCGGCTTAAAAAAAAATTATGCAGTTGCTGTTGCCTGCAATAATTGAACGTGTTTATTATGGCATTCTGCAAAAATTTTGGATTTTGATTTCTTATGCAGCAATATAGCACATTCTAGCCAGTGCTGTAAAACAGGATGGATCCCTAGTGTCAGAATTTTTTTGTTGTATGTTTGTGGCAAGCATAGATGAAGGATATTTACAATTAAAAAATGAAGATGGCACTGAATCAGATTTATTTGATGTGGAAGTAAATCACTGCAGTGTAGTAGCTAGGAAAATATTACAGGTGTTTTTGCTTGTTTGGTACTGTAACAATCTTGGAACTTCAGTCTGTGTGGAGTGGTTTATTTCTGCTGTGAGGTGTGTTTAGAATGATGTTCTCTGTGGATTGTTAGAAGGACTTTTTTACCTTTTTAAAAAATAACACAGTAATAATAAATACACTTGAATATCTACAATGTAGAAAGACATCTCTGTAGATTACTTCCTCTGTAAGAAAGCAGGTTTGGTGTAACTGTTCTCTAAAGCTGATATTTTTGTTTAAAGTTAAATAGTGATAAATTACAATGCGACAGTGGCTTTAAATGTCAAGCTGAAACAAGTCTGATTCAATGCAGGTGAGTCTTGTAAACAGTTGATTTGATTACCAATAGTACAAAAAATAGTCTTGTTATCGTCTCTGTTGGCGTTAAAACCATTTCATTCATTCCTTGTCAGTTAAGAAGAGAAGTAACAGGCAGTGCTAACTGTTGATCAGATGCATATTTTATCTCTGGTGACTAATTACTCGTAAGGATAACATGGTGCGGATGGCTGATTTTCTTTCTTTTGTCTCTTAGCAACAACTTGAAGAAGAAGCTGCTAAGCCTCCAGAGCCAGAGAGGCCTGTCTCCCCTCCTCCAGTGGAACAGAAACACCGCAGTATTGTCCAAATTATTTACGATGAAAATCGGGTAAGAGTGCTTTTCGGTTGACTGAGTATAGCTATAAGTCTGACCCAACGTGTTAAAATTCATTATGTTTTAGTTCACTTCCATGGGGCAGTTTTTGCTCCTCCTCTTTAATTATTCATTTACCTCTTTATAACAGAGGCACTTGCATGACATTTTTATTCTTGGTCACAGGATCCTTCTTCTATCTTATAAGCAGTCTAGGGAAACACATCTATGGGTCTCATCCCTAGATGTCTGTGTTGAGATATATATCTCTGTATATCTATCTATACACATGTATATATAGATAGATGGATACGTTTGTGTGTATGTATATAGATAGATAGATATAAAAAAATGCTTCAGAAGTTTATCTTGAATTCTCTTTTCTTCACATAAATACTGACAGGCTTGGCTAAAGACCCACCATTTAAATTAGTTGAAGGGGAAAAACTGCGTATGTTGTAAGATTCTGTGCTGCCTTCTTAAACCCTCACTTCTGGCACTCAGGAGTCGGATAAATGAGCAGATATGAAGAAGTAGTATATAGGTGAATTGTGAGCTTGTGTTGCGTGAGTTGTGATAAAAGTGCAGGAGCTCAATAATCTCGCCAACAGTAGCAAAGTGCTTCTTGCCTGTTTTTTTCCCTGGTAGTTTCAGATTAGGGAGTTGGACATCTGCTGGTTTTGAAAGAATGATCTTTTGTGAGAGTGGTATATGTTTGTTTAATTTCCCAATTTTATTTTGTAGTTTAGAGGAACAGCTAACTTCTACTACTATAGACTATTTTGAAAATTTGAGATGGTAAAAGACTGCAACACATTGCTAGATTTTATACAGTAGGACTGTGTCCCAAGTCTTCCGCACAGCCTGTTCTCCCCCTCCCCCAGCTCTCTGTGAAACGTGATGTATTTACTTAGTACAGGACATTAGGACAATTACTATGTTATAAAAACTGATGTAACCAATGTACAGCAATATGTTTACTTCTGGTTATGAACCAGTTTTACTGTTTTAAATCTCTTTCACACTATTAAAAAGTATTAAAATCATATGATCACCTTACAAGACTTCTTCAAGCTCAGTTGCATGTTGGGTAGTAGGCAAAACTATGTGAATCTGAAAACATTTTAGTGGGCTGCTGTGCAACTCTTTCTCTGCTAACTGTGGTTACAGGTGGGTTTTACAACAGAATTTTGAAGTTGCTATTGCATTCCCCATTTTGTGTATGTGCAGGTAGGTGGGGAAACTTATTTTTATGTTGCCTGAGATGGAGTAACTTGCATCAGTGTATGGTCGTCTGTTAGCTGCTTCTGGCTGTGTAGCTCTTCATATAGTATTCTGTATACAAGGAGAATTACCAAGCTTGATGCATTTGTGAATCCGTTTAGCGCTTGGTTTGAGTTCTCATATGAGGAATTACATGGACTGTAGAGTGGCAGTATTGATGGGGCTAAGTACAAATAGCGCATGTCAATACTCACCGCCTTTATTTAAAGGGTTGTTAAAGATACATTAAGTCATTTGTGTACGTAGCACTTGTTTGGTATCTTTTCTTCTGTGGTTGTATAAGAAGACAGTCCCCTTGGCAGCTTTCGTCTTCAAACCATGCAGTTTAGGAAAATTACTTTTAATATTCAACTCCTATTGGCTAAAGTTTAGCTAAAGTAATAGGGCTAAAATTCAGTTTTTAATGTTTTAAGACCAGAAAAAAACATTCTACCACAGTAATATTATAATATTTCCTTGGTATATAATTATTTCGTACAGCTGTGAGTTCCAAAGAATTTCTCAAGATCAAAATTACATGGAAAGAGGTTAGAACTTAGCAGAACACTTTCTAATAACAACTCCTTTATGGATTGGTTTCTCCTATATTTTTCTTTGCAGACATCTTGGGACTAGCACATACAACTACTGGGGGGAAAGAAGCAAATTTGAACTAGTGTGTTGGATCATTTCAGATAGGCTTGCCTGCTGACAAAGGGCTTTGGAAGATCGTGCAGGCTTGAAATTAATTTGTGAAAGCCAACTAACTGTCTTATCCAGTGCTGCTTCCTTTAAAGTCAGAATTATTTTGGCATCTTCGCCTAGCGTGAGGGAAGGAGGACCTTTGACGTACTTCTGTGTGTGTGTATGTACACATTGATTTACACTCCCACACTTGGCAGTTGGAGAATTTTAGTCTCTTAATTCCATTTTTCAAAGCTAGCTATACTTTGGTTTACTGGACACCTTTCTTCCTCTTCATAAATAATACGGCAAGTAATTATTAAGCGTGTGCTCTTTTTGAATGGCAGAGGTCAGTTTCGGCTTTTATGCTCGATCAGTTTCCAGTCGTGGCGGTCAGAGCAGTAACTGCCCAGTTCAGGTACAAGTTTCTTGATTTGCTGAGGTGACATTGCAGAAGTAGGGTAAGAAGGATATAGTATGGTCACACAGCGGTTTAGCAGCTAACATAAGTGAAGGAGTTCAGATATGCTTTTGACACTAACTTCGGATGATTTGCTTAGACTATACAAAAAAAAAATCTTATTTGCAGAAAAAAGCAGAAGAAGCCCATAAGATTTTTGAAGGTCTTGGTCCAAAAGTTGAACTGGTGAGTAGTGGGTTTGTTGTTTTTTGTGGTTTTTTCCCTTTTATTCTGTTTTCTGTGTTGCCAGTGTTGCTTTCATGTCTGTAATCCTGTTGTGGCAAACAGATATAGTTCTATGTTTATGTATGAAAGAAGCGTGTGTTTAAACGCCCTGGGGAATTGAGGCTGGAGTGGACTGATCGGCCTCACAAGCATAGTTTTAAAATAGATTTGAATCTGTTTAAGAGAACAGTTTGAAATATGAAAAAAATTAAATGCTGTGATATGCATAAGTTAATTTTGTGTTGAATATCTTCTAGTCCCTTCATATTGTTGCATCTCAGATTGAGTGCACTGTTGGCAGAATACTAAAACATGGTTAAATATATTGCATATACTTTTAGAATGACATGCATTGAGAAGTAATAAGTGTACCTTTCTAATCCAAAACTGTAGCCACTTTACAATCAACCATCAGACACAAAGGTTTACCATGAAAACATCAAAACGTAAGTGCTTTAATATTTTGTCATTATGCCATTCAGGGGATCTAGACTTACACATTCACTCAAATTTTTCGTTGCTGTGATTTCCAAATAGGTTATGTGTACTTTAACCATAATTAAAAGCTTCCACTCCATGCAATTTTTCAATTTCATTGTTGTAGAACAGTGCTGCAAGACATGAGTTATATGTACTGGAGGCAGAGGGAAACAGTAACTTTTCATCTTAAATTAGACAAAAATAAATCATAAAACTTAAGATGGTGACGCTTGTGTTTTTCAAAGTCTAAAATACCAGATTTGACCTGGATATGTCTAGTCAACTTTTCCTGAATTTACTGTTCAAATAAGTGTTTTAAAAGTTACTGCTGTCAACAAACCATAGGAGGAGTCCTGATTTTTTTTTTTTTTGTATTATTATCTATTTATTTATTGACTTAACCATGTACTCATTTTCTGTCATGGGCTATGAGCAGTGTTGTTGCATGCTACACAACTTGTTACTTAGGGCAAACCAGATTCAGTGACTTGAACTCAACTGGTTGTCTTCTCCTGGAAGAAATGTGGATTTTGAAGAAAACTAGTTTTTTGTTTCTTTTTTAATATAGAACTTGTTTCTCAAATTTGTATGAGCTATGGTTTTTTATTTCACTGAAGAAAATATTGTTTATAAATTGAAATAAAGTTTTAATAGATTCATTTTTAAATGTGTTTAAGCTTATTCGTACTCAAATTTAAATGTCCATAAACCAGACCACCGTCATGGTGCTTTTTTGTTGCATCTGATTGCTTTGAATGTCTCAGTTCTGCAAAGATGGTGGTGAGCTCATTTTTCTACAGGAAGTCATTCATAACATAGAACAAAATCTTAGTTTTTACGTAGCTATGTCAAACCAATATTGTTTTCATTCTGTAGCAAGGTTATAAGATACCAAAACAGTGATGACTCCATAGCAACAAAAATCAACTTATTATGAATATATGTATTGCTACGAGACTTTGGTGAAAATAATTGCTGAATTGTAACAGTCACAGAAGTGTGTATTGCTTGCAAATCCTCCTTGAGGAAATCCCACCCTGTTGTAACTGTGAAGACCAAGGCCTTTTCATAGCTGCTTTAGGACAGTAACTGGGAAGAAAATGTTTACTTGCATATCTCCCTTTGAAACACAAATACTGGTGATTTTGAGACAAACTTTACTGCTGTGGCATGACTATCCCAGTTCAGATTAGTTGAAGAACATTACTCTCTTTGTAAGATTTGTTTATTTGTGACCAATTTCTGTTCTACTAGTTTTTACAAAAGAAGAAATAAGTCATCGGTTTCAGATATAAAGAAATGCATAGTGAGTTATGTGCATATTACTAAGTGCTAGAACTTTTACTACCATTTTATAATATTTTGTAATTACAGGAAAAAATCCTGCCGATGGCTGTCCTTTAAAAACTTCTCTTGAAAAAAGTACTTCTTGCTTCACTCCTTCAAATGTAGCTGTATGGCCATTCCAAAATAATTTTTTTGGGGGTAATATATTGTAAAAAGTCTTAACTTCAGAATTCAGTTACAAAGGTATTTTTTTTTGTTTCCAAAACATAATATCTTAAGCCAAATTTCCTCATTTTAGCATATTATCTCTCCTGTGGTGAAGGAGAGCACCTAGCTTGAAATTGGAAGCTTTTGTGTCTCAACTGGTTATTCCAGCCATGTTCAAGAGTCTTCTTCCTGATAAAATACAGTATTAGTTAGGCGTTTGTTTCATCAGGAATTTTCCCTTTATTTTTCTACCCCTGAAAATATTTTTCATAATAATGTTCTGGCACCTAGAATCCACATGGGCTGCTTTGAGTAGTTTTGAAGTGCTTGATTCTTATGTAGTTCACATTTTTTTCCAATTTTCTTTTCCAGAAACCAGGTGATGAGGAAAAAGCTAATACTATTCTTTAAAAGAAGAAATCATGCAAGAAAACAACGGGTAATACTAACATGTGTTTGTAAAAAGAGCACAATTGGTTTTCTGTCTGGATCCTAGACGCACGTTCCCACATGTGTCATGAAACTCCCATTGATTAGGAAAATAAGATCTTCAGCTAAAATTCTGTTGATTTATTGGAAAATAAGCTGCAGATTTATAACCGGTTTGTTGATTATTTAACTGAAAACCATCCAAAGTACTGTCAGGAAAAAGCCTTTTTTCTTTGCTGTTCTTTTCTCAAAGAGTGTGAATGGAAGAGACCCAGTGAAAATCTTGAGCTGTCATGCCTGGCCTCTCTCTAAACTTCTTGTCTTGTATAGTAGCTATAGTATCTGAAAGAAAATGGGGCAGATCTCCAATTAGAGAAGTCTGACAAGATTTTTAATCAAACTTGTGAATGTTGGATACCAGTATTAGTTGGCTTTGTGCTTTCTCTTGCATGCTGTTGTAGCAAGTGGCATGTAAAGTCAAAAGGCTCTTTTGGGTGGTGTCAGAGAGATCATTTGTCAGAGAGATCATTTTTGTTATTAAGAGCAGCAGAAGGTTCTACATCAAATTGGAAGATTCCACCATGAAAATGCGATGAAGTATTTTTCTTCTTACAGTCCTAGTTTTTTTTTCTGTAGGCGTAGCTCTCTACATATTGCTGAGATTGAGGACATATTGCAATTATTCCAGACACATTCTGTTAATTAAAAATTTTAAATAAATTAAATAAAAATTTAAAAATAAAACCAATTCCATTCATTAAAAGCCTGATACCACAAGATGTGAGATTTCTGGAAGGCAATAACAGCACTTACCAAATACCATCGTGATGTAATCATGAAGCAAAGAAATAGTGTGTAATATTCAAAATCTGCATTTTTATATCCACTTCCTCACCTTCTTTCTGCTGAAAATTGGGTATATGCAATCTTCAAAATGGATAGCCACTAGAGCAGAAAAAATATGTCGCTTCATTCCTGGAGCCTACCCATGTTATGTGTACTGATCACTTAGTGTATTTGTGTTTAGTTCAAGGTTTACTTTTGGAATTTAACAGGAACAGAAAATCTGTCAACGTTATGATCAGCTGATGGAGGCATGGGAGAAGAAAGTTGACAGGATAGAAAATAATCCACGCAGGAAAGCTAAGGAGAGCAAAACAAGAGAGTACTATGAAAAACAATTTCCAGAAATCCGGAAGCAAAGAGAACAGCAAGAACGATTCCAAAGGTATTACCATGAATTTGGAATATTCCTATAAAATACCTCTTAGGACTTAAGTTTTGAAATTATTTATAATAAAATTAGTTCAGCTTAATGATTAAGTGTTATGTTCATTGCTTTATTCCTTAAAAAAAATATTATTGTATCATACAGTATGAAGTAAAATGTTCTTTCACTTGTTCACTGTGTTTCATGGCATTGGCTCAAGTTTCACTTCACATCCGAAGGATCTTCAGGACTGTCATTCTTGTATATCCACTGTCTTACGTCTTGCCCTGTCCTGTCCCTCCCTGTCAGCTTTGTCAGTGGTGCTAGCCCCATCGGTTTCTCTGGGGCTTCTTCAGTGATGTGCAAATTGTTCTTTTCCTATCCCACTTTTCAGATCTGCTATCAAACCCCATACAGAAAAAGGGCTCATCAAGAAAAGCTAGTTAGGTGGTGGTGCTCGGTGAGACTATAGGGTTAAGCTGCTTGGATCAGATGCGCAGAGATTTGTGGAGCTGGTCTTAAGATAATTGGAGCGTCAGCAGCTTTGTACGAGCCTGTTCATTTTGGGTCTACACTGTAATTTATACTTAGTATTTTTCTGTCACTGGGTGTCTGTGTTACTCCTTTGTTTCATGGTCCCTATATTCTTTAGCCTACACACTCAAAAATCATTCGACTTCTTTAACAATTTGATTGATCTTTTGTTGTACTTGCCACGTAATTTTATTCCAGACATTTTTGCTTCTTGAAGTATGCAAGCTGTGACAATTAAGTCCCTATTATTTAATTTTAATCTATCAGACATTTGTTGAATAGAAACTGCTCAAGGAATCTTAAAAGGAATGAAGTGCAATTCATTTGAGAGTTCACTTTATCTACAGTACTGTAGGTAGTGCTTTAAATTAGAATTAGGTCAAGTATGATTCGGTTGTGTTCGAATCATTATCTCTTCTAACCATCTGTCTAAATCCCCTTACTTCATAAAACATAGGAAAAGCGGATAGTTTGCAATCTATCATGAAATCTGGAAGATCTGGCTTTGTGGAATCAAGAAAAGAAGGAAAGAAAGTAAATTCTTAGAATGGAAAAAGGACTCTCTATAAGAAGCTTTTACTTTAAGGATGTATCACGTCTTTGTACTTGGGAAGGGGCTGTCTCTTTACGTTTTATTCATGTTCTCTAATGTAATAGTATCTTTGTCTGTAGCTGTGCTTGTAATACTATTGCCATGTAAATACTAAAGTTTTTTGTCAGATTTCGTGCAAATTGATTGGTTCAGTAAAATCTTCCAGCAAATGAAGACGTCTTGGCTAATTATCAGTGATTTTTATCTGTGAAATGCTTTTTGACCCACATGCTGCATTATATTATTATGATGTTCTTAAGTGTAAAGATCACCAGCTGAAAAATTCTTCCAAATTACAGCTCTCCCCGTCAGTTCAATAGTTAAGAATCTTCCTTTGTTGTAATGAATCTCAGTGCTTTATTAGTAACTTGACCAAATTGATGAAAGGCAAATTTTAAGTGCTCTTTTCTTCTAAAAAATAAAACAAAAAAGCTGACTTTCACAGCTGATCAGGTGTACTAATTAAGATGATGATTTCTGTGTCACTGATGAACACTTCTCATACTCAGCAGAAGCCTATTAATGTATCTTGAACGCCTCCTTGCGATGGCATCTGTGGTAACACTCCGTTTTGATGTTGACTCAGGCTTGCCCTTCTTGCTGAGCCTTGCAAATTCACCTGTAAAACTGAGCAGTTGTTTGAAATTGCAGCACATGAACAGAGTTTGTACTCTGATGCTACTTAAGAAAGCACAGTCCTAACTAACTAATTTGGGAGACTGGTAACAATATTTTAAAGAATTTTGAAGGTTGCCGTTGTGTACAAAATCTGAAGATAGAGCTATTTTCTACTTTATCCTTACTACTTCTTTTTTCCCTTAATTCTAGAGTTGGTCAAAGAGGGGCTGGACTTTCAGCAACTATTGCTAGAAGTGAACATGAGATTTCTGAAATCATTGATGGACTTTCTGAGCAGGAGGTGAGGCTATTGTCTGTACTTTGGTATAGAAGCACAGCAAATGACTCTATAGCCTTCTGTTGACAGTGAAAGGTCCCTTTCAGAGTGTTTGTTTCTTTGGTAAGAAACCTTTTTGGGCTGGTTTGAGAGAGTCTGTGTGAAGTTGGCTTGAAACAAGTCTTGCAAATACTTTTCTTTTAAGGGTTATGTTTCCTAATTGTATCTGTCCTAGACTTTTTCTCATCCGTCTGTGTTCATTGCAGGCTTGCTACAACCCGGTTTTTTACAGCTCTAACACATGTGAAAACTCTTCCGTTCTAAAAGCCTGCACCATTCTAGTTTTTCATCATTTGCGACACTATTTCCTTTAGCTGACTGTGTAAATGCCCGTTATGATACCAACAACTTCTAGAAGAGTTAACAAGTGGACAGAAGGAAGTTTCAAACTAACTGTGGATGTATAGTGTGGTGGAGCTTTTAAAGAGTTGTGTAATTCAAGAACTGTAAACATTAGTAGCAACTTTTTGTATTCTTTACTTTTTCTTTTATTCTTTGCCTGTAGAATAATGAGAAACAAATGCGTCAGCTCTCTGTCATTCCTCCCATGATGTTTGATGCAGAACAAAGACGAGTGAAGTTTATTAATATGAATGGTCTGATGGAGGATCCCATGAAAGTTTATAAAGACAGACAGTTCATGAATGTCTGGACCGACCATGAGAAAGAGATTTTTAAGGAAAAGTAATGGGCTTTTTTATATTTTTTTTTTATTACGTTGCAAACGACAGTTAAATACCTAACCCCCCAGCAAACATCAGTTAAATTGGGACTGCTGAAGCTTTTGTGCAAGAATACTTGATAATGTTCCTAGCTGGATGAATGAAATGTTGCAAAAGTTTTAGGCTTTTCAGCTGAGTAGACTCACATGCATTTAGTCCTTAGATAAGAAATTATCTTAAAAATACTTTAGTTCCATGATAACATTAAAATGAGAAGACTAGGTATAAGATCTCATTATATAAGCAAATAGCTAATTTTAAGTGCTTTGTTTGAAATATGCACAATTTGAAAACTGGCCTTTTTAGACTAATTTCAGTTGTGTAAATCAAAGGTTTGCTGATGGAACAGATTATTTGGAAGACTACTTTGCTTATTTGATCATGGATTATGGTGTTAAACTTAAATAATTTCTGATTTATAAAAGGTTTGTCCAACATCCCAAGAACTTTGGTCTAATTGCTTCCTACCTGGAACGAAAGGTAAGACCTTTTTTAATGTAAGTAGAGCCTGGGGTGGGATCCCTAACTTTCCAAATGTAAGTTATTTATCCCAGCATCGTTTTCTCTTCCTGGAAAGAATTGTAAATCCAAAAAAAGTTACTGCTTTAACAGGATTTTATGCTTGATCAGTAACACAATCTGTGCATGCAAACATCTAAAAACAGTTAGTTGAAATGACACTAGTGACAACAATAGAAGAAAATGGCAGTTCCTTTAGTTTTGGTCGAATTTTCTTTCTGAAGCAGGTAAGCTTCTTTAACTAGCTCACTGTTTAGGTAAGGACGTAATTGGCTCTGCTAGGACATTGTGCTCACTCCAAGAAACTTTGCCACCACCTTTCAAGTCAGTGGGATCATACTGCTGGCTGAATTAGTCTTTAGAACTAATTTTAGTCTGCAGAACTGGTGTAAGAAGTAATGGAGAATTAGGATTTGTTAAGACTTAGAACAGAATCTTGAATACATACAGCTATTATGATAAATAGAAGCTGTCAAACTTGCAAATTGTCTAGTATAGATTAAATCATGCAGACTGAAGTAGCTGAGGGATATTATAAATACATGAGACTTGCGTTTAACACTGTAATTTTATGCATAGTTATATTGTTATATTAATGTGTGAATTCACTTCCCTGCTGAGCAAACAAATCTAATAGAGTTTTATTTTAGTCTAGGGGCTGAATAATTTAAGCATTGAAAGAAATTAAATACTAAAAACATATTTTTTATAGCAATAAAACCTAATATTTTTTTTGCCTTTTCACTTTAGAATGTTCCCGACTGTGTATTATATTATTATTTGACCAAGAAAAATGAAAATTATAAAGCCCTTGTGCGAAGGAATTATGGTAAACGCAGAGGAAGAAACCAGGTACCTTAAATTTAGTTGTTGCTTGAATATTGTTATTTTATTGTTTCGTATTTAGAATTGTCTTACTGTCTGATATAGCAGGTATGTTATATGTGGGAGGGGGGACACTTTACTACATTGTTGCCCATTTTAAACATAAAGAATCCTGACCTCAAGGGTGCTATTGGTTAGTTTGTTTTTAATTCTGTGGAATATCTTCTTCCTTTGCACGTTTGTGACTTGTTTCAATATGACAGATGATTTTATTTGAGGACCCTGTCGTAGACATTGAAGTCAAATCTGTCATTAAATCCTATGCTGGAGCCAACAAAAATTAGGTTTAGCATGTGACTTGCAGTGGAAAATATATAATCACGTCATAATATCAATGTTTGTCACAAAGCAAAATTAATAGTGAACTTTATTTGGTGGTCAGGCTCAAAGTCAAACTGGAACTTAATAGCAAGAAGAAAGAGATCAATTTAATGCAAGGAAATAAAAAGTTCTGCTAATTCATGCAGTATTCTTCTGGAAGTTTTGGAAGTCTTTGGTGGGGAAAAGAACAGCATATTATGTACAAAAAAGCATGTAGATACATTTGGTAGGCTACCAGGGTTAATGTGAATGTTGGAAAACAAAAAAAAAAAAATTAAGAAACAGATATTTAGTAAGTACTGAAAATAGAATGGCAGTTATGTCAGTGACGAGGTTAGGTAAGAAGGTCATATATGAAATAAAGTACATGAGCAGAGAACTAGATGCAGCAACCAAGCATGCAGGTATTTTGAGTTTGTATCCTTAAAATGAATTTAACAGCTGGTAACCAGGATAGATACAATGTGCTGAATAAGTACCTCGCGCTTTGTTGGAACTGCCGTCTGCCAGTGCCAGGAGGGGAGGGTCCTCTCAAATTCAGGGTTTTAGAAATCCACAGACCTTAAAATCTGTAGCATTGTGGGTTGACTTAGTCGTATCTCAGCAGTGGTACTACAGAGAAAATTGTTCAGACTTTGAGGTATTGTGACTGCACAAATCTGTGCTGAACTGCAAAACAGCAAATTAAGTAAATATTACACTTCAGGATATGTGATTCCTCTTTTCAAATGTAAGTTTTCTGAGAGTTGCAGTAATTGTGTTTTTTATAACAGAAAATTGCTGCAAACAGCTTCAGCTGATAAGTTGATCCTGTTCACTAGAAACAGTCATCATGTTGTGCTTTTATGGTGCTGTTGTACTTAAACCTTTTAAATTATGGTCTGGTGTTCAAAGAGAAGAGATCGTGTCACAGAAGACTGACTTGTCTGTACCCAAAAAATTATTGATTGTTCGGGATAAGGTCATTTTCATTATGCACAGGATTTAGCTAGAGCTTCTACTGTGACTAATTGTGATGGGAGAAAATACTGGAAATATCCTGTATTTTGCCAGAACTTCTGTTAGATTTTCTAAGCCTAATAATGCTTTTTAATAGGAAAAGTGCATTGTTGTGTGACTAGTGATGGTGAAAGATTCCAATTAAAGTAGGGATATATGGCAAATACAGAGAAGATGGAAATAAACGAGGTTGTCCAAAATGTTGACAATCGCTGTGGACACTAAATGCAGATAATGCTACTGTTTTAAGTGGCTCAGTTGGGTATAAAATGAGATTGGTGTGATCACAGTAAGTATACACATGTTGAGCGGTATCTTTACCATGTGCTGTTCTGCTGCAGCTGTTCTAAGAGGTGAGGAGACAGAACTGGCTCAAGCTGTAATGCATTGTAACTGTAAGTTTTGAGATCTTCAGAAGATCATAACTGTATATTTAAGTGTCTTTTAAGATTGTTAAACTTCAGAATATTAGAACTGGTAGAGTTTAAAATTTAGGTGAATTTCTCAATCCATGAATTGTTTGCTTTCCTTAGATAATGCATATAAACCAGAAAGATTTCAGTTACAGCCCTGTGCACAAGCACATAGATTTGTGAACTTAGCTCACTGTGAAAGGAAACTCATGGTCCTCTGCCTGCCTTTAACTGCTGCCTTGAATACTGATTTATATGTGAACAACTAAATACGTGAGTTGGGGCACTGAAGTTGCTGTCTTTGTTTGTTCATCTCCACTTACTTGCTCTTTGAATTTTAGCAGAGTTGTAGGTTTTAGTTGCTAGTTGTTGATCCGCATAAAGTACTACAGGAGATCACTAAACTTTGGGCAACTGGTAGACAGGCTTAATGTATGCTGTAGGGTGGGGACGCAGATAAGTGTCAGACTTCATAGATCTGACGAATGCTGAGGTGTACTTGCAAACTCACAGAAATACTCTCAACATTCCAAATGGGAAATTTTACTGTTTCTGGAAGTTTAAATTCGGAAGTGTTGTATTCGTAACACTGTAGTAAGGAAATACCTGGTGCCAAAAATCATATTTGTATTTCTTAATTTTATTAATGATTAATTAGCAACATCTACAACAGCTAGTAAAAAAGAAGTTGAGAGTGTTGAACTGCCTTGTTTGCCAGGATTTTTATCTTAAGGTTGCAGAATGCAGTACATCCCCCTTCTCCCTCCCGCACCCCAGCTTTGTTTGAAGCTGATATTTTTCATATCTCTGAGTAGCAACCTGAAACTTCCTTGCTGATTAGGAAACACAAGTCATGTAAGATTTATGATGTGTTCCAAGATGAGGTTATGCCAATAACAGGTGCTTCAGCTTAAACTCGTAATAGTTCATATATTTTTGTAAAGTAGAAGGCAGGCAAGTGGAATATTGCAGTGGAGAAGATATTAATCATGGTAATGATGTTGAAATCCTTCAGAGAATGTAGTGAGTACAACTTGACTCAGGTTTCAGTGCAGGGGCTTTTACTTTAGAGAAGCTGAGTGCTAGATTAAGGCATGTCAAGTTGTGAAATGTCAGGCTTACTGAATTCTGATATGTTTTTGTCCTCAAATAGGTCTAGGAATGCCTTTTTATAAAATGCTACCTGCTGCTCACAGAGGCAGCTGAACAAGTGCGTCTTAAACCAAATGTGACTTTTCAAATGAAGAGCGAGTTTTTAACATAGTATTGGAAGAAAGCATGGCTGCAAGATGCTTTAGCATTGATTATAGACAATTCCTGAAATAACTCATCGAAAGGAGGTTTTTCATTGAAATCTTGCAGCAAAGCAGTAATCCGTAAGGACGATGTTTCTGCGGTCTAGCTGCCTGGTCAGCACAAACGCGTGTCTGTGGCTCGAGCCGTGTGCCTTTGCAGCAGGTGGCACAGTCCGGTGATCTGACTAGACAGAAATTTGCTGTATGTCTGTGACGGCCAAGCGCACCCAGCTCGCTGGGGATTACCTCGGGTGACCCCGGTGAGATTAGAACGTTGTATGTGAGATGGGCAACTCTGCTGTAGGCAGCTTAAGTGGCAGAATGACACCATTTCCTGGAATAAACACGTTGCTGGGTCAGGCAGCCTTTGCGAAAGAGCTGTGTGATGTCGGTGCTGGTGTGGTTTTTGTCCTTTTGAATTGCACCCCGAGTTAAAGCCCGTCCCCTTCCCTGGATAGTAAAAGTTTTACTGAACAGATGAATGTGCAGGTACGTCGCTGACCGAGGCTTCAACTGTTTTAAGGTTTGTGTTTAACCTGCACTTGACCTATTGATTGTGCATGTTAAATAAATTCACTGAGATAGAGAATCCTGTTATTTACAAAGTGTGATGTTAAGTTAGTCAGGCAAAGAGAACAGAGGGTTTTCAGCAACTGTTTTGTAAATAGAATATATGCAAAATACAGGTTTTAATTATTTTTACTACTTACTTTCTTCTGAAAATGCAATTTTTAACTCCTTGCTTTTGAGGCCAATCTATCTAGCATGATGGAAATAATTTACATCTGACATCTTGCTTGAAGGAAGTAATGCTAGCATCTTAAATGCTAATAATTTGCAGCAGGATGATAGTGGTTAGTGTTTGGGTTTTCTGATCCAGTTTATATTATTAAAACGTCAAAAACAAGTCTTTTTTGTGACTGTTTACAGCCTCGGTTTTGTTAGTGAAACAGTGACACCTGCTGCTACACTTACGGGAAGGTTGGTTCCTCTGTGAAAAAGAAAAGCCAATTCTGAGGAATTTTTCAGTGGACTGTAAAATCTGAGTTAATGAAGTCCCGAAACAGCAGTCTGGGAGATCTCTGTCCTTGTCATTCCATGAATTGCTAAGTGTACTTTGGGTATTTATTTGAAAGATAGCTTTATATAAATATTACAGGTATTTTGATTTTTAAAGTTGACTTGCAGCCAGTAAAGAGCAAGTCGGTTCTGCACACACCAAATTTGAGTGGAGAACGTCTGGGTATTGCAGATCTTCTGAATGGGCGTCTTGATTGATGGAGGTGGTTCGCTTGACCTGTTCAAGTGCCTTCTGTGTGAACTCCTGTGCATGGCTCCCTCTGCGTGGCTGTAGCTTGCTCCTCACCCTCTCTTATGTTCCGTAGTTTCTTAAGAAGACATATTTAAGGCAGAATGTAAACTGTAATCATGCGTTTGAAATAACCTTCGGTGTTTTCAGAGAGGAGGAAGATCTGCCTGCTATAACCTTGCCTGCAGCCTCAGGTTTTCTCTTCCTGTTCTTGCTGTGTGGTGCCTGGTACAGAAGGCTCGGATTTTTCTGTGGCACTCGGAAGAG